AATAGAAGTAATGTTAACCCACAGAATAGGAACCTATGAGTCCATAATGGTATGCATAATAAACAAATTGAAAAACTGATGAGGAACAGAATACATACACAGTTTCAAATCACCTGCTTTTTAAAAATACCTACTAATTACAAAGGGAAAAAAGGAGAACATTACAGTAGAGAAGTCTAGCTGAAATTATCTTAGTCAATGATCCAAATAAATACCATCAGTAATGGGACAAATTAAAATTATGCAATATCTGGTAGGATGCATTAAAAAGATTACAGAATCACTTCTGTGATATTTCTGCCAAAGATACATAACCTGAATTTAATCAAGAAGAAAAAAATCAGATAAACCCAAATTGAGTGAAATCTTACAAAATAATTGATCTGTGATCTTCAAAAGAAGGTTATGAAAATTAAAGAAAGACTGAGAAAATGTTCCATATTAAAGATAACTAAAGAGATAAGATACATACGATCCTTTTGCTATAAAGAACATTAATGAAACAATTGGCAAAGCTTGAATGCAGTCTGAAGATTAGATGGCAGAAATGAATCAATGTTAATTTCTTGATTTTGATGGTAGAATTGTGGTTATACAATGCCCTTAAGTGTAAAGAATTGGGGGGGGGTTGCAATGGGCCATCAGGTTGAAACTTACCCTCATATGATTTGTGAAAAAAACAAAAACAAAAACAAAAAACCTCTGTACTGTACTGCAACTTTTGTTAAGTTTCAGATTATTTCAGTATTTTTAAATATATATGTATGTATATATGTGCATGTATGTGTATATACACACAAAAGAATGGCATCTCAAAACTTTTCAGGGTTTTTTTTCCTATTAGAAATAACGCTTTAACGAACACCTTTACACATAACCCTGTACGTAAAATACTTTTGTGCACAAATTGTGTACACAAGAGATTTCTACAAGGTCAACAGATAAAGTGACATGCATTTGAGGCTATTATAAATTGAATTGTTTTTGTAGTTTTAAATTACAATTGCTCGTTGCTATTATATAAAAAGACAATTGATTTTTGTGTATTGGGTATTGTGTCCTACAGCCTTGCTAAATTCATTTATTTCTAGGTCATTTTTGTAGGTAGCTTAGTTTTCTATGCACACAATCATGTTGTCAGTGAATAAAGTCAATTTTGCTTCTTCCTTTGCAATTTTTACAACTTTAATTTGTCTTGCAACATTTAAAACCAGTAAACAAAGTGTGGAATGTTTGATTAAGGGTTTGAGACAATTTCTATACTAAGAGTTAAGCCCCTCTCTCACACGATACATGCACATAAACACAATTGCACAGTGAAGAAAAATGTAATAAAACTTTTAAAATATTGTTAGTAAATACAGAAAATTTTCTTATAACCATGGTTGAGAAAGATCATTCCAAGAGAGGCAAAATCCCCAAAGTCAAAAAAATAGACTGACAACTTTGGCTCCATAAAACTATAAAAACTGAAAGATACTATGGCAAGCAGTACTATAAACTTTAAACATATGGCACTGTCTTTGGGACTGGGTACTGGGAGAGACTGTGGGGAGTTCTAAGGTCACTGAAGAGACTGGCCTCTAGAATAATTGTTATTATCACATAAGCTAGAAGAGTGGGGAGGAAATTGGTATTACAAGCTGGATAAAGAATGACCTGCATTACGTATTAGCGGGACAATTAGCAAGACTTCGGAAGGTGCAAAATGTATTAATGAATTTTTGAACTTGCACAAGGAGATATTTAGGAAGCAAACTGCAAGTGCCTATTAGATTCCTTTAACTGCATAGAATTAGAGGTATCCCATAAATCTCAGTAAGAGTGTTCGTCTAGATTTAACTACAAATACTACACGTATAATTGTTCATTATTGTTTCTATTATTTCTTTTGCTCCTCTTCCCCTATCTTGAGATCTTTGTTCTAATTTAATTCTCATTTGATTTCAGAGAGTGCCTTCTTAAATACATTTCCTCAGAAAGAGTATATGGATGGCATAACTCTGAGTCTTTATGTATCTGAAAATGTCTTCCTTTTATCAAAAAAAAATGAGTAAGATCTTTGTTGGGTTTAGGTTTTTTAGATATTGCCTTGAATAATCAGTAACTATTGTCCTTTTCTCTTCTAGGTCCCTGGGTTGCACATGAACCATTCAATGCTTCTCTCTTCCTTGGCAAATAACTTTATCTTTTCTGTCTTAGATTAGGAGCCCGTAAAATTTTTTTCTGTATCCTTGAAATTTTGCCAGATAATATCTAAGAAGTATGTCTTAAAATAATCCTGTCTGGTACTCAGAGTCCTTTCCATTCAAAGCCCATACTCTTTCTTCAGTTTAGGAATGTTTTCTTTGGTTATTTCTTTATTACTAATTTATCTTTTTCTCACTCCCACTCCCTAATTCTGCAGTGAGTACCATTCACATACTAAATCTCCTGGATATGTCCTCCATGTTGCTTTCCTAAAGCATTTACATTTCAGTAGTGACTACTCTATTTTTAAATTCATTTATTATATTTTTAACTGAAAATATTTTTAAAAAATTGGTTTTAAAAAAATTTTTAAAAACTTTCTCCTTTAATTTTATTTCTGTAAAAGTTCTCATTACATTTTTAATAAAGTTTACACCTGTGTAGACCATTAATTCTAACTCTCTAGTAGCCATCTATTCTGGTTTCTTGGCTTAATATCCTTCCATCAAACTAACATTACTTTGAATGGCTTGTGAATTTTCTCTGTATAAATCTCATTTTCCTTCCCTCATGCAAAGAAGGAATAAATATATAATTTGTAAGGATGTTTAAGAATTAAATGATAGACCCATACGTAGTTCTTTTTCTACAAAGTCTCCCCTCCCCTTTTTTTTTTTTGCAAAATGGGGCCTCACAGGAACTCTTGTGAGAAATGTAGATTCTCTCACCGTAACTGAGACCCACTGAATCAGAATCTATATCCTAACAACATCCTTAAGTGATTCTAATGTACACTACAGTTTACAAAGAGCTGATCTAGCCAATAACACATGGGAAATGACAATAATTTCTTAAAGAAACCACTTTTTTTACTTTTTTCATATATTAATATTTTATATGGTTTCTGCCCCCAAACTTATCAATACCCTGTTGTTGTTTGTTGTTTTAATTAGGCAAACTTTGGAATTTTGATTCCTTCATGATCTTTAGAGACTTTCCTTTATATTGAAAATATTAATAATAATAATAATAAATGAAATGTAAGGAATGCCAGCCTATTCTCATCACAGACTTTTCATAGCTCTAGTCTCTTCTCCAAGTAACCTCCAATTTGGGGAAAATGTACCTATGCCCAAAGCCAGGAGATGGGGACAAAAGTTGACACTGAAATCTACAGGAAAAAAAATCATGTCTATTTGCATTTCTATGGCACTTCACCAGCCTTTTTCTAGAACAGTGTTTTTGAGCTCTAAAAATAGAGATTAATAAGTTAACTTGCAACACTGTGATAACCAAATGAAGTATTATATGAAAAAGTTCCTAGTACAATTCCCAGCATATTATCAGTGCTCAAGAAATGTTAGTTGTTTCACTTCCTGTTCATCCTTACTCTACCGTAATTCCTTTTTAAATGCCTATATTCCACATTTAGCTGTGAACATCAGGAGGGATGCAGCTTACTTCTTCATATAGGCATATCATGAACATAGGACACATCCTCTAAATGAATGCTCAGTAAGTGGGTAAGGTATTTATCTATAATCATAGTAATATAGACATAATAAGTAATTTCTATCTTTAGCAATTTTTAGTAGTTTACTTAAACCAGGACTAATGATTGATTCAACGACTCATCTGTGGAATTATTAGACAAAGAATTACTGTGCATCTATCATGAATGAGGAACTATGATAGACACTGGAGACCTAAATGATAAGCAAAAAACAGGCACTCCCCATTACAGAGGCATGATAGAGATCTCCAAACAGAACGTAAAATTGAATTGGAGTAAGTACTGTAAGAGATACGCAGCGCTCTAAGAATGTGGTAGGGGAGATAAATGTTAGACTAAGAACAGCTCAGCAAAATCCTGTCTTACCGACATATTTTTCCTTGGTCAGCCATCTCAGGATGGTCTACCATTATCTCATTGACTCTTTTACTGTTTCTCTTAAACTGGAAAATCCCCTGAGGCATCGCTTCCAGAAAGCCGTGGTCAAAACAAAACTCTTCCCCGAGGGAGAAGTTTGGGTGTAGACAGATGGATAAGGCTACTAGTATCTTCCTTATTCCTCTTCTATTAGTTAACATATTGATACTGATTATCTTATCAGAATAGTTTAGATACTGTCACTTTGGGAAGACAAATGAGTCGTTAGAACAGTTGAGTCAATATTTGTGCAATAATGGAGGCTCCAATCCCCAGGGAGGTGGGAGACACACTAAGCGCACCCAGCTAGGGAGCCTGGGTGATCCCAGTCAGGCTATTAAAACTTCAACAGGGAGGACATTGGTTTCATCAAACTGTGGAGTGATGATGTCAAAGAAAAACACTTTATTCTACAATTTTATCTAGAGTGGGCTGTTTTTGTTTTTTTTTAAGATTTTATTTATTTATTTGACAGAGACATAGCGAGAGAGGGAACACAAGCAGGGGGAGTAGGAGAGGGAGAAGCAGGCTTCCCGTGGAGCAGGGAGCCCGATGTGGGGCTCGATCCCAGGGTCCTGGGATCACGACCTGAGCCGAAGGCAGACGCTTAACGACTGAGCCACCCAGGCGCCCCTATAGTGGGCTGTTTCTTAAATCCTCTCAAGCTGGTAACTATGTCTCGCCCCCACTCCCATCTATAATCCCCCAGCATGGTAACACTACTTTTTAAACTTGTGATTAAGTTTCAGGCCGACAAACGAAGGGGAGAAGTGGGTGGTATTTACTGATTCAGGAACTTTGTTAATAGGAAACTCCTGCTGAGGAACACCTGGCTGGGGTGAAGACAGCCCTCTGCGCTGTTCCCTCGTTGACGCCTTACCTATTCCTGAAGTAGTACTGCTGAGCTACGAACTTCGACCGACCTTGCAGCCGAGCTAACGTGGCCATAGCCTCCCGGCGTCTGCCCGAGGGCGGGTGTTACTATCGGTCTCCACGGCAACCGGGCTAAACCATAATGCGGGTCCCGGGGGTTCAACTTCTCGTGTACTCCACTTTTATTTTCCACCCCGTTTCAGTTTGCAGAATACTAGCAGAAAAATTAAGAAATTTATGTAGGAAAAGGTTCCTGGGATTTGCCTCTCTCTTTTCTGTGAGTAGAAGGAAGAGATTCCAGGCGAGGAGGGCGGTGGGGGAGGAGAGGGAATGGTTGCTCCCGGCATCCGGTTTCCGCCTCCCGTCTGCTTCCGGAAGCTCAGCTCAAAATGCTGAACTGCTTTTGGAAGTCGCTGGTACTCTGGTAGTTGGAGTCTGTTCTCGGGCCGGAGCCTCGAGGCCAGGCTCCTGGGTGTCGTTAATGTTCGGGGCCGCCGGGCGCCAACCGATCGGAGCTCCAGCCGCCGGGAACAGCTGGTGAGGCTGGCGGCCCTGAGGGTGGGAGATCAGGAAAGGGTGTGAGGGCCGGAGGCCGCTGGACCTGGAATGGAGGGGGAGGGAGTTGTGATGGATGATCTGAAGACACTTAGGCCTTGCTCTCACTCGTGCCTGGGATGGAAGCGATTTGAGGAAGGCGTTGAGGTGTGTGCTAAAGATTTGTGAAGGAATACAGTACATGCTTTCTGATTGCCTAACACTCTACGATATTTTGGGAGTAAAGGTCTCTCTCTAGTTCGAGAGCAATTCATTTCGTTGATTGTTGACAAGGCTAGGGACAAAAGAATTTCTGTTAACATAGGCCTTATTCCCTCACTTCCCTTTTTTAATTTACTAGATTATACCAGGTGTCTTGGAAGATCAAATCCCAGAATTCTAGAGTTCTGGAAGTTTAGTACTGGAAGAGACCTCTTCACCCACACACACACACTTTTTTTTTTTTTTGCAGTGGGAGTGACCTACCTGTTTCTACTCCTTGAAAGTTCCATTCTAGTTCAAATGAGATATGTATGAGTGTTCCCTAAGAACATATAAATGCCAGGATTTGTTTGAGGTTTGACTGTGTCTGCAGTACCCCATTACCAGTGCCACTTTGGAATAATTGCTTTGACTTTTCAAAGTGCTTTCACAGATTAATGCGCTTTATCTTCATGACAGTGCTGTGACAGGAGATTATCACGAGCACAACTGAGCTGTCCAAAATTGCCATGCACATTCTGGGGCTAGAAGCTGGGTTTTGGATTTCTATTTGAAAACTCTGTGATGCCAGGCCTATTTTTCCCCAAGACCTTTTCCTCCAGGCATACACAGGACAAGCAGTGAAACAAGCAAATTTCCCACTGACAGTGTCAAACAAGAAGCATTGAAAAACAGGTGAACTATGGCTGAAAAAATGTATGTCCATTCTGAGATTCTGCAGTGAATGAGACCTTGAAGGATTCTAGTAGTCTGTGATCTCAAAGATGTTCTTTGCATCACCTACAAGTGAAAAGAATATCTTGCCTAAAATGTTTTGAATGAGATTAGATCATTCTGTAGAACCTTTTATAATGGGGATAGATTTGGTGATACTTTTAAAATCTCACATTTTCCAGTGAGAAAGCAGGAAGTACTTTTTTAAATGAGCCATATTTTTTAATGGTGTCCTATGGCATTAGCATAAAATAAAACCCTTCTTACGTGTTTAGTATTTTTAGTTTTGACGATTGTATATATTGTGTAATCACCACACAAAACAAAATATAGGACATTTCCATTACCCCTGAATTCCCTCTTCAGTAATCTAGTAGGTGCCTTTCTTAATGTTTCGCCATTCAATCAATACCTTGTTAAGGGAGCGAGACAAAATGTGCTATATAGATTGGTCTGCTCTTGCTGTAGTGATACTGATGTGTAGGATAGATGACTATTTAATTAAAAAGTATGACTTCCTCTCCCTTTCACCTTCTACCCAAATTATAGTTAGGTAACTCCTTATGATACAGAGAAACCGTCCTTCAATTCTCTTAAAGTGCTTATCTTATTTTCAGTTATCAGCATAGAATTCATTCATTCTCATGGCATCAGAGTATAACATAGTGCCTAGCGCTTAATCAGTGCTTCTGAATGAAATTCTTTTCCTTCATTGATCAGACATTTACCATACTATGAGTGTATTATGTTTTATCCCAGTTACGAAGTCTCAGTGCCACCAGGGATGCTACTGCTGAGTCATTACTTAGTGCCAGGTTTTATGGACATATATCTCCTGTAAACCTTTTGAGATGGGTGCTATCGTTTTTTTTGCATTTTAGAAATGGTGAAACAGGAACAAATATAGTTTAAATAACTAGCCCAAATACCATATTTGCATCGTGATCCTGGTATATCTAAAAACAATTCTTAACCATCCTGGTATACATCCTATTTGTCTGACTACGGTACGCTATTTCAGGAATATCTAAACTGGAAAGAATATGCTGATTTTTTAACTCACCTAGAATTCCTGTTAGACTGACGTCCCATCTTGACTTCAACTTTTTCTCCAATGTCAAGGTTAGATTTTCAGTTTTTAGGCACCAAATGGGTAAATAATAGATGATTTATCTCTCTTTAACAATTTGTTGAAAGTAGAACTGATATTTTGTAATTTATTCCTAATTACAAGTTTTATACAATTAAATAATAAAAATCCTATGATTTTTGTGTATGTCAGGAAATGAATATATTTTTTGTGCAAGTTGTTCCTGTAAGTGGTTTATATTACATTTTTACAAAACATAGCTGAGAGTGTCTGTCTCCTTTTCCTGCCTCATTATTCATATACAATTTTGAAATTAAGGGCCAAAAAGCATAAGTATTTTGGTAAATTGTAAACCTGCCTTTTAAAATTTGATTAATTTAATGGATAGATCATACTTATAATTTAGATACACTTTTACTACTTTTTACTTTATTAGTGACTTATATTTAAAGTCAATTTCTGGTTTGTTTTTGAGATTCTAAAGGTTGAACTAAACAAATTTTACAATTAAGTCCTTGATGAAAATACTGAATTATTATTGATAATATGAACTAAACTATATATTTAAATTTGTGTGGTTTGCTTAAAAAAAAAAAAAAA